CATATTAGAGCGTTTTATCCTGAGGAACCCCCCAAAAAGACGCACCTCGCCCTCAACTCATCCCGTACCCTGCTTCACTACGATGTGAATTCTGCCTCCGCGACTTTGGCAACATTGGTGGTCTCGCATGCCATAAAAAGTTCAAACATCCTCCTGGAATTCTAATTCTGCCAGCAACAATAAAAGTAACGTTTCCACGCAANGCAGAAAATTCCATGAAGGAGAGGGTCTGCCCAAAAAATCGAATTCCACCAATGGGCAATACAAAACAACGAAAACAAGAGACCTTCCGGCATTAGTTTGCCCCTCATGCGGTGGTCAATGTGTATGAGTAAATCAGGCCTAACTCTACACCGTATGTCACGTCACGGGTATCAACCTACTCACGCGCACACCAGCCAGCGCGACGAATGCGACGAAACAGCTCTGCACCTCTTGAGTTACCCCGCTCTTCTACCACTGCGAATGTAATTTGCGATAGTTGATGATGTACCCCTGAAGAAACTATGTTTTTCTAAGCGGTTAGCACAGTTCCTCATTTTGGTGGAGCGGAACTACGCTATGCCACAGTCTTCACAACCAAGAAACCCTACGCAGCCTACCTCCCCCTCTGTAAGGCCTCCCCACCTCTCTAAAATCAGCGACGGGCTCGAACATGGAAACCCTGATAGAAGAGTACGCTCAAGGCGTCTGCCGCCGACCCAACAAGCAACAAAATAAATAGGAGTTCATTGAGGCCAATCCATCACAAAAAAAAACCAAAAAATAACAAAAAATAATGGCAAAAGGAGACTTGAGGACGGGTTTTGGGTACGAAAAGTGAGAGTAGAGAGATCTGGTAGGGTTTACTCGATCAGATTTCTCGTAGACTGGTTCTCTCGTTTGGGAACGGGCTACAACCAAAAATCATATTACAAGAACTTGAGGATCCTATAAAATGAAGGGATCTTCTTTGGAGCCACTCGTAAGCCAGTAATTAAGATACTCTACGGTATGCGGTTGATAGACGTACCATTGGAGTAATATCCATAAAGGCACGAAGAAAGAAAATAAAAAACAAATCCATGATAATACGGAGTCCCATGGGTAGAGGGGTGGAAAGGGGATATGTTTGATATTACCCTCCTAAATATAATTATGGAGGGAAGGAGTGTGGGAGGACATTTAGAGATGGGGATGGTATGTGTCCGTAATCGCTGCAGCGGTAGCGGGAATGTCCCGTCGTTTATCGTGCTCGTCCAAGGAGTGTGTTTTCATGAACGTCGTTTGTGGCGTTGGGGATGCGAACAACATTGTATTGCGAGCAGTGCTAATGCAAACGAACTACAAACAAACAATACCACAGTTCTTGATTGTGTGGGTTCTGATACGTGTGTTGTTGTTTATGTGTTGCGCTCATTTGTGTGTGTGCCAAAATAGCTGGTGGACGTCTCGTAGGCCTCTCTTTTTGCGTATTTATTATTCTCTTATGTATGGTATTTGTTGGGCCCTGTTTGGAGGTGGTGTTTGGTTTCTTCGTCGGTGTCGTGTTCGTGGATCAACCGCGTATTTAGAGAGGGTGGTGTTTCTTCAAGTACTTTGTTTGAAAAGTGGGGGAAGAGGTGTTACTCGTTATCGGTGTCTGTAAATGTTTCTGGTCGAACTTTGTGGGGTTTTTCAGTCGTTTCCCCCAGGGTTGCCCTCGTGGTGGGGGTTCGTCACATCTGTCGGTGTTTGGTGTTTTATTTCTGTCGTGGTTTAATGTGGGAGTTGAGCAAGTTCAGTCACCAGAGAATTCCTTTGCGGCCAGGTGTGTGGTCGGAGACATAGTGTTTCCTTGGAGCGGAGGACATCTGTGTTTGGTGTGTGAGTGGTTGGTGCGGTGTGTGTTGCCGTCCCCCTGGTTCTCAGGGATTCTTGTTTTGGGTGTGGGTGATTTGCTTTGGCACGTTTACTTCACTTATTTGTGGGCTCTCGTGGCGTGCAGGTGAACTTTTCGCCAGGTCTTGTACCCCGGGGTCGTGTGTTCGTTCCGAATACTGTTGATGATGTACATCTTTCTTTTCCTCTCGCGAGTGTGTTTTCACATCCCATACAATGGTGGTTTTCCACGGTTTTCGGTATTGTTGAGGTGATGTGCGATTTCAGGTTGTGCCGCACGAATTTAGCCTGCGGTTGCTCACCTAATGGTTCCTGTGATCTCGTGGTGTTTGGGGGTTCTATTTCCGACTGGGTCACTCGTGTATTTTTTGATATGCGCCACGGATCCAGTACACACAAAGAGGAACGGAAGACAGGCGTGTGTAATGAACGTGTGCGCACAATAGACACTCATCATTGTGATGTGTTCGCGAGCTGATGGGGGGTGGTGACAGTCGTTCGTGCAGTTATTTGCAGTAAGGGGTGCCGATGTTGAGTGCGCCCGTGTTGCGACCACAGAGAATTTGACGTGTGGATGTTGTGATGGTTGATGGGTTGCGGTGTTGCATTTGACATTCATATGGGAGTGCTCCTTGAGTACTGTTTCGTGAGATGGTGTTCTGTGTTTGCTGGTATCTCCTCAGTGGTCTTATAACGGTTTTTTGGGGGATGACGACCATTCGGGCAATGAGGTTGGCCCATGGGTGAAAGATAGATAGAGGCACGTTGTATATTATTGCCGAGTGGGATAACTAGGATCTGCGTGTGGATTCCCATGGTGCTGTTTCTTTTTATTGCTTTTGTGGTTTTTTTTTTTTCGTAATTGGGGGTGTTATTTTGACGTCCGTACGGAACCTGAGGTGTATTTGTTTTTTTTTTTTGTGAAGTGGTGAGATTGATTGCCTGCGTCGCGTTGCTTTGTTTTGTGTGAGTGGCTTGATTGCTGTTGTTTTGTGTACTCTCTTTATATTTCCCTCTGTGTCGCTTTTATTTCTCAGTGTGTTAGATGTGCGTCTCTTTTCTCCTTCTCTTTTTTCTTGTTACCATGGATCCAAGCAGTACACAGTGACAATCATGACGACGATGTTCGTCCAACTGCGACATGTGGTGTACCTGTTGGTCCTTCTTCAGTGCTGTGTGTGTGTGGCATATGCGGAAAGTGCAAATGGTGGTGGGCAGGATTCTCCTACCGGTGGTTCATCTGAAATAGGAAAGGTGAATCAGGTGATAAAGAAGACGGTAACCGAGGTGTATGAGAACATGGTGAACATATCTGGTTGTTTGGTCGTGATACATGAGGGAATAAGATTAAGCAAAGAAAATACCAGCCGAGCGGAAGTTGCTGCGAAGAATATTACTGCTCAATATGGCCAGATCAAAGAATTAATGGAAAAACAAGAAGAGTGGAAGCCAGATGAGTGGATTGTGGGAAAAGAGGATGGAATAGAAGAAAACATATATGCTTTTGGCAATGGGACGATATCAGTTATTGCCATATTTGAAACGCAAGAATCTTGTAGGAAACGTTTTGGGGACTTGGATGGAGATAAGGAGAAACTTGCCGACGCTCGAAGGCTCTTTTTGGAAGTACATGACAAAGCGCCCAAAAGAATGGAGCTCGAAGAAAAAATTGGTATGGCGGAAAAAGCGTTGACTGAACTCACAAATGAACGTGACAACGTGAAGAAAGAACTTGAATCATTAGTGGATCTCTACGAGATCATGAGTAAAGCGAATAGCGTGGTGGTAGACCTCGTGCGGCGTTTGGGAGGTGTCTCGACGCGCTTAAAGAGTATAGAAGAAACCTGGGAAAAAGAAATCATGAGAGAAGTGAAAGAGAGAATCGACAACCTTGAAAGAAAACTGGAGGAAGAAATAGCAAAAGTAAAGGAAGCAATTCGGCCTCGGCTACGGGAGTGGACGGTTGAAGAAGAAGGGAAAAAAGATGGAGGTCAACCGTCCAAGGGAGCACGAGAGAAAAAGGGGGTTGAAGAAGAGGAGCGGAAAAAAGGTGGAGATCAAACTTCCAAGGGAGTAGGAGAGACAAAGAGGGTTGAAGAAGAAGGGAAAAAAGATGGAATTCAACCTTCCAAGGGTGCAGGAGAAACAAAGAGGGTTGAAGAAGAAGAAGGGAAAAAAGATGGAGATCAACCGTCCAAGGGAGCACGAGAGACAAAGGGGGCTGAAGAAGAGGGGCAGAAGACAAAAGAAGAAAAAGAAAAGGAAGAAGAGGCGGAGAAGAAAGAAAACAAAGATGAAGAGAAAAAGGAAGACGCACCACAGCAAGAAGGAAAGGGAAAGGAAGAGAGAAAAGAGGAAGAGTCAAAAAATCCTGATATGGACGCGGGACTGGCAATAAAAGCAATACAAACTGCTGACAGCAGCAGTAGAACTGCATTGGTGCGCGGACCCTTAATGTTGATTCTCTTGTGTGTGCTGGGTTCCACACTCGTGTGCTGATCGGTGTTCCCATGACACGGTTGCACAGTTGGTCTTTATTTGAGTGGACATGGATGCATTGTGAGGGCACTGTTCTTTTTGGTTGAATTTTAATGTTTTTTTTCAGTTTGATAATTCTTTTGTTTGAACATTTTTTGTTGAACACATCTATTGGACTCCCTATGGCACTCATCACATGACAAACCATCATTTTGTGAGGGGAGTGTCCTTTTTGTTTGTTCGCATTATCTGGGCACTGTTTTGCCGCCATTTACTGTGTCCTCCTGGTGATGTGTGTGTGTGTGTTCCGTGATATTACTAACTGTTGCTTTCACCCATGGGAATGAGATACAATCCCGATGTGTTTTAATTGCTGTGACTGAAATGTGAAGAATGGCAGGAGGTTCAAGACACACACAAACAGGCGCACTACCAACCTTCCTTCTCTTTTTGTGTGTGTGTGGACCGTCATCATGTGTACATCATTCCCACTGATCGCCCTGTACGAAAGACACACACACACCGACTGCTGGGAATTGTGTTATTGCCTCCTGAAGATACTCACATGGTGATCACGGCTTACTTTTTTATTTTGTTTTCATTATTTTGCTTTTCCTTGTGTGTGTTTCATTATAATTTCATTGCACGTTATGTGCAGCTGTGTGTTTCTCTTTTGCGTTTCCAATACACATTGTGTATCTTGTGTGTTCATTTTTATGGAATGATTTTTTTTTTCATTGAAAGCTTGCGATAAGAATGGCAAAGCCTTACTTTTTGGAACTACAGATTTATGGGTTTTGGTAAACCAAATTCAATTTGTTTTATCTTTACAGCCTGCCTAACAGTGAGTTTCTGAAAAAGAGTAAGTTTACAAGGAGGGAAAATCTTGAGTACGACTCGTCCCTCTTATT